AGCTTAATTTTGGAGTAAGGGTGGGTTTTATAAAAAAAAAAAATGTAAATGCTAATAACGAGTAAACTCGTCATTAAGTCAGACCCTAGTGGAGATATGACCCCCTTTCTCTCTCCACCCCCTCGACCTTTAATCATCAAAATTTAATAGCATCAATCTCCCTAATAAACAAACCATTCTGCAAAATTTCAGAAGTTTTCGACAAATAGCACAGGAGTTATTAAGCTTGAAAGAGAGTGAATAAAATCGTACCCCCCACACTAACATCTATACATACAAAAAAAAAATTGCATTTCTCGACGTTTCAAGGTATCCTAAATCCAAAAATGTAAAAATCTTGGGGGGTCATTTTTTGAGCGATTGCCACACTTTCCCTCTGATATATAACAGAGAATGTAAAAATAGTGTAATAAGCACGGAAAGTTCCGAATTAATACAAGAAACTTAATTTTGGAGGTATATTCGTTTAAAAACCATTGTAGTTTCGATTTTTATACCTTTACAATTGAATTTCTCTTTACACTGTATTAAAAATACGAGTAAGCAAATTTAAGGTTAGTTTGTTTACATCTTTGTAGGACCGAATCTCGCGAGTTTGCCGTATTTTTAGGTGTATTTACAATGTTTACTCGCTGCATAAAGTATTGTCACTAAATATATGAGTGTATTTCGTTAGTGAGCGCTTTTAATATATCGAATTTCCGATTGTTTTTTTTAAATTAATTTTTTAAATTTTAAACAAAATGCGACCTTGAAAAATAATCAATTACTGTTTATTTTTAAAATTATTCCTTTTTTTATTAATAATATCCGAAACCGGTAACGTTAGTTACACGTACAGTACAGTAGTAACTGTAAATACACACGGTTGAGTGGCATCCAGAAAACCACTTACTGTACTCCTTTTTACCTCCGAAGACCAAAATTTTATATCACAGACGGTGGCGTATCTGGGATTTTAAGAATAGGGGTGCTGCTCGGGGGACCGAGGCACGTGCTTCTGTCGTTTTAAGGAGAATATTACTCGATTATACCCAGTGGCGCGTTATCCAATGGGCAAAAGGGCAATTGCCTGGGGTCCCAAACCAATTTTTTATAAGGAACCCCTAATTCAAATTTTCTTGGATCCCACGAAGCTATAACGCGCCGCTGATTATACCGTATTTACTTTTAAGTAACAAGTGATTACTTTGCTACGGAGGAGGGTGCTACAACAACATAAGCACCCCTTCAGATATGCCCTACGCAGAGAGATCCAAGAGGTATATCTCCGTGCTTAAAGTGACTTATAAATTAAATTTGGAGTTAAATTTCTTAAAATTCCGAAATATTAAGCATTTTCATTTTGACCACATTCGTGTATTTTTTTTAAAAAATAAGATTCTAGTGTAAATACTGTAATTGCGTCAGAGCATTCTGTTATTTATTTTCCTTGTAATTTAATATTTAATGAGTTCTTAAGCCATACAGTTGTAAATAAAAAATTCATAAATTATAATTTTTAGTTAAATATTTATATATTCTTTTTAAACTGAAATAATTATGATTAGGTTATATACTCTGTATTTTGAATATATATAATGCTTTTATTATATTTGAATACCTTTACTCCGAAAATGAAAATATCCAAAAAAAGAAGACAGAATAATGAAAATTTTCATCTACAATTAATTAAGAATTGTTTTTGTTATTTAATTACTAAACAATTTTAAGGAATTTAGGAAAAATAATTTTTCGTATTTAAAAAAAAAAAACATTGAAGATTTTTTAAACTTTAAATGAATATTCTAAAAGCAATGAAAAAATCGATTTTCTGAGAGACTACTCGCTGACCGCGTTTCATTATAAAATCATAAACTGTAATTACTCACTGATTAAAAAAAATTAAGAAAAAATAAATAAATTATCATAAAATCGACGGATTCTTGCATTTTGACTTAAAATCCGAAGGATTTTTATTGTTAAACGAGCAATTATTTATTGTGACATAGTCACAATACCGTGTTGCAATTTTTTAGATGTCGATCGATGCGCAATGCTCTTAATTTTATTGTGTTGCCCCTGTACATCATACTTTTCCTGTTAACAAGAGTCATGCCAGTCGTCTATCTAATTCTCTTCTGGAGAAAATTTTCGAATCGGTACTTCCTGCCCCTAAGCTTTTCATATCTGTTCTCGACTTTCATCTATCTAACTCCGTTTACGAGATTAAGGAAGGACAGACAGACAACGGACGGAATTTAGAGGTCTGCAATTTTAAAATTGCATTCGAATCACATTATTTAAAATTAGTGAAAAGGGGTGGGGAATTATAAATGTCACATTATTTATTCCAGAACTCGTATCAAAGAGTTATCCGAGTTTTTACTTGTAATTTTGGTCTTGAATCTTGCGCCTATTCACGACTTTCTCCTCTTTTTTTTTAATTTTTTAAGCAAAATAATTACTTTAGTTTATCGTCTACACTTCGTTTCATACGTTTTTAATGAATGACGATGAACTGTTTTTATTACGTCAAAGTTTTGGAATTCTTTTCATTATCTTTTCATTCTTCCATCGCATAAACCACAAAAAAGACATTCTTATTTCAGAATGCCCGTAAAGAATAACGAGATAAAAAATTATGAAACATTTTAGCTAGAACATAATTGTGGTTAATATCATAAAAAAGTTGTATCTATAAAATAAATCAATATTTTTTAAGGGGGAAAAAGTATAGAGCTTTATTAAATTTAAGATTGATTCCGTGGATCATTAAGTTGATTTTATAATGATTAATCGTTATAAAATCAACTTAATTACCTTACAATTGTATCAAAGCATTTAAAACTTGAATTTTGATACTTAAAAATGGCGGCTGTCGTTTACCTTTAGCCTGTTTTAGTTGTTTTTATCGATTTAAAATGAAATAGGCTACTTCAATCAATAAATTCAATCGAGTCTTGGAAATCAAATTGTATTAAGTAATGGCCAGTTACACAATAAAAAGACAAGTACTGTACTTTTAGGCCCATTATTTACTCGAAAGCATCTATTTACAAAATCGTAGATCATTAAAGATTATCCAGATATAAGTTATAAATTATTCAATAGTATCCTAGTTTCATTATAGGAATTGAAGTTAAACGATTCGGGTTCATTGGCATCTTAGCTCAAAGTTTTAATTGGAATCTAGTTCCTAAAATCCCATTTGTATTGATATATTAGACTAGTATAATTATGGGCCAATCCGCATAATAGTTATATCGTTAAAATATACAATGTACAAAATGTAAAAAGTTTAAAATTTAGTTTCTTAAATTTAGTAGTAAAATTTAGTTTCTTATTTTGTCATGTTTTAATTTTAGTTTGACATATATAACGTCAAGTCCCATCACGGGCCCTATCTGTTGGGCTTGGTTTGTTTATATTCGGCAACACGTGGACGATTTGACTTTCTATAGGAAACAGGCCCCTATTTAGGTGTTACAAATGTGTGAAGAAAACCCAGAAAACTTCACATGGCCAGCGCGTGAACCCACCACCAATTACCAGTGTTTGGTGGTTTTTATCCACTGTCGCTGTGGGTTCGCCTGTTTAGTTCGGGCCTAATTTAGAAGGATTTCGAAAACATTTATTTGTAAATTATTCATTTCTTTTATTTATTTATTTGTCAAATTCTATTATTTAAAATATATAATACAATTTTTAACGTCTTTTTTCGATACGCCAAAGGCCTGAAAAAAAGTATGTCCATGAATTTCCCTGACCTTCGAGAGACTCTGCGTAAATGAATTTGTAAAAATATTTACCGATTCTGTTATTGTACAAAATCTATGAGATCGCATTCTTTCATTATTATTATTAAAAATACGAGAATTGTTAAATTATCTCGAATAATCATCTAAATTTGCCATATTCGAAAGTTATATTCGAAACTATGATTATACTTCGGTCAAATAAAAAGGGGTTTGTTTAATTTTTAAAATATAAACTCCAAGAATAATATAATTAAATATTGTTACTGTATATTTTGTTAAAAGATTAAATTTTTTGCTAAAGAAGACGAATAAAAATTAAGTTTTTAGACTTTTATCTCAAAGAAATATATATATATATTTAATGGAGTTTAGCGAAGTTTGCTTTAAAAAAATTAGATAAATTGCAAAAAGCAATTAGATTTAAAGTGGTAAAATGAATGTTGCCGAATCGAAACAATCGACTTTATTATTTATGTGAATTTCTGTCTTCATTGAGGTTAAAGATTGAAAATACTCTTCTCTAACATAATTAACTCCGATTGAAAAAAAAATAACAATTTGATCAAAATCTTCAGAAAAATTAAATTTCTCTCCACCTTACTTTTAATTTTGCCTTTCATTTTAATTTTATTTATTTATTTATTTAGTTTTTTAATCAGAAAAGTTATCATTTTCGTCGGAAGAAAAAACAAATAATATAAAAAAGTAGTGTAAAAACTTAATTAGGAAAACCGTACATAAGCAATTACTTCCTTAATTCTTCTGGATGACAAATGATATTACATTCTCATTGCTTATTATCGAACGTATTTGTCTAAGTACAAAATTTATGAGAGGTTATATTCCATAATTGGAAATAGACGATGTCATTGGCCGAGAATTATGTCAAAAAAATTATTAAAAAGAAAAAAAGAAGATCAAAATTTTGGTATTCCATTATACGGTGCCATTTATAAGTTATAAATTATTCAATGATGGCCTAATTTCGTCAACAATTTGATCGTCGATGCCGAAAACGTTAAAAAATTTCCCCATTGTATAATCCTCGCCTTTTTTATATTTTCGTTTCTTTGAAGGACGTCTTCTTGTCGAAAATTACTTTGTCCGTAATCGTCGGCGGTGTCATTAAACGTGCCAAAGTCTAGTCTACACTAAAGAATAATGTTATAAAAGTAATCTCGCATCTTTCTGTTGATTAACTTTTTTTTTTTTTTTTGGTCTTAGGTCCTTCGGTTAATAAACAGCAATCAATTATCTTAATGAAGAAACGGGTTAACAGAACGAATCTTCTTCGCCAGAAAAACCCGATAGGTCTACCTTTTTATCAAAAAAAAAAAGATCGATAATAATAATACGTTGCGTCATAACTGTTTCGTAAACGTAGATTTATGTGATTTAAACACGAATTTGTGAAAATTATAAGTAATTTTGACGGAAACAAAGTTTGCAGTGTGAAAAAATATTGCACGGACAAGTTCTGGGTAGAAGAAGCCCCACTTTTGTCAAATTAACTCCATCTAGCGATACTATTTCGAACTAAGAGCGACCTGTTTACGTGTTCTTTATAGTGTACAGTACGTTTAGTGTGTAAATTATACTCGGTTTCTATGGTGAGCGACGGCAGTCGGTGCGGGTCGATAGCGTATCCGTCATAGAGCAGAAGCATTGGTGACAATGCCCAATCATGGGGTGTACAGCCAGCCGAATATCGCCTCAGAAAATTAAAGTCGCCCGTGAAAACGGACCTAAAGATGCCAAAACACCGGAGAAGAAAGAAACCGAACTACCTCACGTTCTGGTAACGGAAGACGATGATTGCAAGAGCGAAGAAGAAGTCGATAAACTGGAGGTAAGGCGATATCGATGCTCGGATTTTAAATATTTTAAGCGAGTCGTAAGAATTTATTGATGTTTCCAATGAAAACGCATAGTTTCGAGGATAATTCTAAGCGTTGTTATTAAAATTATGGCAAGAATCCCGTTAAAGACGGTGATTTAACCGATACAAATGACATATTTTCCCAACGTGAAAGCCGTTTTAGCATTGCTCAATCACTTTTCGCCGTGGAATTCTTGACGTCGCTAATTGATAAGAGAAACTCTAACACAATTAGAAAATGGAATAATAATTATCTTTAATAGTCATTCACTCCCGAGAGAATTAAACGTGCCAAAAAGGGTGTGCCTTTTATTAACGACTAATATTGTTTTAATAAGAAAAGATACGGTGCTTTTAACTCGTCTTTTCTTTTCCTAACGAGATGCCTCGGCTGTCAAATGCTCTCACTTTATATTAAACTTAACCATTCTTAATATTTAATTTATCGATTTTTAGGTCTAATTCGGTTTTGATAGATTTACGTCGTACGTAACCGATAATAAAATATTAAAATATTATCAAAAAATTACTTTACGAATTAATTAATTATTTAAATTTAAAATTAATAATAAAATTTTAAATTTAAAACAAAATCGTTTAATTAACGAATGAGAGCGAAATTGCTTCGTAATAGCATCACCAGATGGCGGAAGTAATTTCGATGTCGCTGGCTATATTTTTCGCCAGATTTTCGTGGCGGCATAAATTAAATAATTAATTTTTCAGGCGTCGATGGATAGCAGAGTTTCGGGATTTTCTTTCAATTCGTGTCAAAGCGCGGTCAGTTCGGATTCCGGAGTTTACGAATTAGACGAAGAATACGCTCACATCGTAACGGAGCATTCCGATCCAATAAAAGTGCAGAAAGTACATCGGGAATTTCAACCTATGGACAATTTAGGTAAGGAAACATTTGATTAATGCGCTCCACCACTTATATTAAAATAAGACGGTGCCAATCCAGCGGAATATATTAATCCGTACGGGCTCCTAGATTGATGACGTTATAAACGGTTTCTTTGATTAGAATTATTGGTCGAAGGCCGAGCGTGTCCGAGGAAATTAAGTCCCAAAGACAGAGATAGGCTGGAGCAAAAGGAAATCATGCAGAAACTCCGAGAAGAAGGTTTGATATTTCGTCCCGCATCTCGAGCAACCGGTGGATTGACGTAAGTTCTGGTATCGTCGAATTTTTTTCTTGTAGCAATCCCGCTGATTGCCCAAACGAAATTCTTTATTATCGATTTTAATAAAAACAAAAGAGAAATAGCAATTTTTGCTCTACCGAGAAACTTACGTATTAAATACTTAAATATTAAAGCATTTCTAATGAAATAAAAATCGTTGCAAAATTCATGGGAATCGTAAAAAAATCTTGCGATAAATCAATTAATGGTATTCTTTAGGGAAAAACTGTTGTAGGAAAATGAATTTATTTTTCTTTTTTTTTGTTTTCTTTTGCATTAGATAAAGATATTTTTAATGATAATTATTTATTATATGTTTATTCATTTAACGCTTTTCTTGTCAGGTTCGAGTTAGTCGATGAAAATCAATATCAGACGATTAGGCGCTTGCCGCCCATTCTACGTCAACCAAAAAAGAAAAAAAAGGAACTCACCTACGAAGAAATAACTAAAAAGTTAGATAAAGCGGAGAAAAGAAGAAAGGTAATTATGGAAATTCTCGGTTTTTTGACGAAATCAACAGTTTTCTGCTCAGATTTTTTTTATCTGGAAAAGTTTTTCCATTGACGCTTTACTCAGATTAATCATTACTTTTTATACTTAAGCTACTTTAATTAAGCTTTATTCTAGGAGAAAAAGAATGATTATTAAACTATTTTTCACTTAGTTATTAATTTGACTTAATATGCTTAAATTGAAAATTAATGAAAATAATTTATTTTTCCGCTTTAATTTCCTCATCTCCGTGGGAATTACAATATCTTGTATCCGTTATGATTCCGTACACGTTTAATTTAGTGCGGATAACTTGCGTGTTGAATAAATGGTTAGTATCTAGATATGTGACGATAGTCTGGTGAGGGTTTTCCGGATCGATATTCCACGTAAGGCAGTATCCGGTGCATACCTGTCCATTCGTTGCCGTGGCACGTCTTGGATTCTAAAATATTTTATACCTTACTCTACACGGATGTTGTTGTTTTCGATGGCGTAAAACACTTTTACCGCCTTTACATTACAAAAACGTAAATATACTAAAATAAAATATACATTAGGACGTGCAAACTCTTGCTTCCTACGACGAAACGTTTTACCAAATTGATAAAATTGCCAGATTATTATTATACATTAGGATCGGATTACGGTTCCTCATTTCATTATCGTAATTATCATAAACGCCGTTTATAATAATAATAATAATAATAATTAATAGATTTGATAAGAGTGGTTAATAATAAATGGCGTTGTGGAAATATATTGTTTTAGACATTATTAAATGATAGGTCGAGATAAACAATACTTGGATTATTTGTAGCAACGAGAAGAAGAACGATTGAGCAAGCTTGCTACAAAAGATCGTATTGATCAAGTTTCCACAGCTGTTGCTCAGCAGGCAGAACTACAAAGATTAAAACAGTCCGAGAAGATGGAAGCTTCAGCCAGGAGTCGGTGAGTAATTTTTTTTTTTTTTTTAATAAACGAATGAAATTTTCATTAGAATTTTTACATTTTTGATATTTTTTTTATGAAGCGAACAACATTTACAAGAACTGAGGAAAAAATTGCGAGCCAAAGAGGAACACGCAAATAAAGTCAGGAAAAGAAAACAAATGCTAGATAGAATACCGGAGTATAGAGAAGATTAGAGAGGTGCGACGTTTATTATATAGTTATTATGTACAGCACGTTATTTCTTCGACGTTTTCTATGTACAGAATAGTTGAGAAAAACTCGTGGATTTGTAATAAAGTTTGGAAAATAAACGTTAATTAATTATATAAAGATTTATTCGACTTATTTTTCCCGGGATTTCGATTCCGGCTTGGAAATAATTTGCTTTTGAACCATGCGAAATATTTTCAAATTTAATTAAAATAAAGCTAATTATAAGCTTAAATGCGGTCATTAATTTAATTTAAATTTATGTCATATTCTTTGTGCGTTTAGTTAATTTATTAAGAGTTAAAGGAGAATTTTATTTTCTTGGTTAAAATTCTTCTCGATATATATTACGTCGAAGGGTATTTGAAATAAAATTCCAGGTTAGTTTTAACATTTGCATAATTTCTGTCGGATTAAAATTTAATTTTTTAAAAATAATCTTTACAAATAACGAATTCCAGAAGTAATTTTTTTTTTCAACATTTATAATTCTTCTTCTTTTTTTAAATAATAAATTTTCTTTCTTAACGTGTTTCGTCCTCGTATTAATATATTAGAATATCCAAAATGTAAACACGATTATGTATTTTAAATATAAAGAATCATCTGTCCGAAAATGTAAGATTGAATATGTTAATATATTCGGGACACAGCTGGAATAGGACATTTAATATTTACGAAAATAAAAATATTAAGTAAATGTAAACACTTTAGCATCGGTTGAGATATAATTATCTACATACATAGTCAACGTTTTCAAAATAGAATAGAGTATATTAATCGAAACGCCCCAGCGTATCAAAACAATTTTCTGTCAGAACAATCCGTTTGTGATATCAATAATAATTTGCATTAAACACGTAGCCGTCGATAACTAACCATCATTAATTTATTGCGCATTATTTTTGTTTCTTTTTTTTTAAATATATATATTATATATATATTTGTGGATGCGTCGGACATAGAAGTGGAGGCAGGGCAGTGAAAACGCTGAAGATGTTTTGAATATTGGAATGAAAATCCGCCATTAGCGGATAAACTTTATCTACAAGAAATGTGTCCGATATTTTTTTTTGATGAAAGAAAAACATAAATTGTTATATAGCGAGCATTAATTTGTGAAAACACAAAGCGTTGGAAATACTGGTTTGACTTCTTGCTTTGGGGATTGTCCAAAATGTATACACCGCACGGGCCTACCTTCTGAGCGCAAGCTAGGATTGTCCGTCTAATGGAAAGGTGTCCTACTGCAGGTCTGGTCTCACTACGACGGTGTCTCAAAGGAACATCCGGGTATTGCATCGAAAGGAATTGTTCATTTCTTTTTAAACCCATAAACCGGATTATTTTCCGGAAAAAAGTTGTTGCTGCAAATATAGAAATCGATTTCAAATCAAACAGGAATAGTATCTTACATTTGTAAATAGAAGTAATACTTGCCATTCCTGATCCTATTTGCTGTAGTAAGCTAGAAGGTTGATTTGCGGGCTCCGCCATACAATTCATATAGAGTGCCGCTGCCGAATATCTTCTACCCGATCTACCCGCAGATGGCATTTCTAAATTAAAGCCATGAGCGGGTGTAGGACTGGGACTAACCTGTAAATATACATAATTACATTTATATCAATATATACGGTTAAATTTGCATTACTATAATTTAATCGGCGATAAATTCTTCCGAGAAAATATCGGATTTGATAGGTATCAGGTGTCTTTTTCCAATATAATTTTATTTTTAATCACGGCAAAGATTTGTTTTGTATTTTATTTGTCGATTTTAGTTAATAATTAGAATGTAAATAATTTAAGCGGCTATTACAGGAAACTAACTGGACACGTAGTCAATATTTGTATGTATAAATAACGCCAAACGCCGGCAGAGATTTTAAATAGAAATTACAGTTTGGAGTAAATAGCTTTCGGACGCCATTTTGATTAAATCATTTCGATCGACATACACGCTTTTAAATTGTAATTATATAAAAAATTTAAAAATAAAAGGCGGATATTTTTATAATTTATATCTGTAGAGTTGAATCGTCCATTACGGTTAATTAAAATATCGTGCTTATCGTTCTAAACTAGTATACAGGTCACAGGCCAACACAACTCATCAGTTAAAATAGAACAACCGGACTCTTCTTTTCTAAAATTAAATTGCGCTTAAATTCAATTCTGTAAACCGTATAAATCATTGACATTTTTGCATCTTTATAGAGCTATTATGTAAAGCGCGGCCGAGTAAGAACATTCGTACATTAAAAGTGCACAATCTACAAGTAAGCCATCGGGAGCGAAGAGACACGATCCGGCAGATACGTGCACGTTAACACGAAAAGATTTTTCGATAATAATAAAAAGGAAAAAAAAAATGTATAAGTAACTGCGAATCGGATTAATTTTTGCACATTTACCGAAGTACCGAAAGCGATTATCGATTAGAGCGGCAAGCAATTGCAGTGAATTCTACAAAACTTCTCATTGATTTCCAATAACTAGTTACCGGCGTTGTACCCGGTAAATCGGATATGAATAAATTTCCCAAATCTTCAACTTCTATCTAAAAATCTAACTCTAACACACACTCCCTGTAAATATTTGCATTCGGTTTAGATCGAAATTCCCCGTAGCCTGTAATAACTATCCGAAAGGTTTATTTATTTTTATTCTTTGTATAAGTTTAGATTATTTAAAACAATCAAAACTACTACCGGCTTCGTAATTGCATTTTCTACTTTAAATTTTAATAATAATCCAGCTTAGTGTCAAGCAAACGAGTTTAAATCAAATCAATTACGCGAAAACTTTTGCTTCTGTTTCCACGTTTTGAGTGTATTTGCAAATAAATATCTTAAAGGAAACATAAATAATACATTTATCCCCTCCCTTATCTGTAAATTCTTATGCATTCTATGAAAAAAAATAGTTAAAATATTGTTGCAAAATCAGATAAAATGGTTCTGGTAGCGTAGGCACGGTTATATTGCAACTTTTCTACGCTAAATATTTAATAATATACAAATTTAAGCAAAAATCCTCTCTCTTTCTCGCGAGTATTTCTGAAATTCATCGATAGATGGCTGCATTTCCCGAAACTTAATGGAAAAGTGAAAAGTAAGCTGGATTTATCTTAGGCCGGGCGATTACACCTAACCAAGTGGAAAGTTAATTTTCCACACTTAGGTAATTATTCACTTTTACAAAGAATGATAACTTCATCATGCGATTATCGATAGAGTGGAAAGATAGGGAAGACAATAAGCGGTGGCATAATGCATTTTGATGATTATAAAAACCGATCAAAACTTTCAAACGAACGAAAAAAAGTGTCATTTCTTTGAAGGAAATTTTGTATAAATTATGTATGCATGTAGTTAGCTAAATTTAAATTATTTACAATTTGAAATGTATGCCGAATCTTATTATTATTATTTTTTCTTTAAATTATAATAACGTTAAAATAGCTTTGTTATCCAATTAGGATTTTTATACTCGAATATTTTTGTTCTGAATATAATTGATCCGTGATTTTAATGTACAATATTTAGTTGAAATATATGTCATATTTTCGAGGATAAATTGATCTAAGTTTTTTTAATAAAATCCTTTAATTAAAATGTTCTTTTCCGCTAATTGGTTGAAACGAAAACAAATTAATAATAGACGTGATTGGTCGGAATGAAATTCAAACAATTACGACGTAATCTATATTTCTAACAATGGAGCTTATTGTTGCTGCTGTTGTATCTCTTAAGTAATTGACGAAACGAATATAAAATTAATTTTAAAGGGTCTTTGTGCTCTTTAGAAAATGATAACAAAAACTTATATAATTTTAGAACTATAATCGATAGAGATAACATGGTTTTGCTATTTTCTGTCATATATAGTATTTATAATGATCTAAGAATAAATTTTATTTTCTATATTACGTTATATATAAAAATATACTGTATATTTATTCCGTCTTTGTATATTAATTTATTATTATCAAATTATTATTTTAAAAAAGTATGCTAACGAACTGTCTATCATATTCCTTATTTTGTCCATTTATGAATAAAATTGAAGAAACAAGATTCGGATTAGCAAGAAAAAATCGAGAAACTAAGATTTTACAATAATATATACATATTTATCCTCATTTTTTTTAAAATTTAATTTACTTTAATAATTTCATTATATTTTTTAAATCTATTTTTAGACGATACCACGAAAATATTTCAGAGTACAATACTGTCTCTTTTTTTTACTTATTTTATTTCTATAAAAAGCGAAAAGCAAATGGAATAAGGATTTTTATATGCAAATCTAGAAAATAGAAGCGGCGGTTGGGTTTTTGCTTTCAGTATAGGCTACCTGTTATAGCATAATCATTGTTAACATACTTCTGTTATCAATGGAAAATTTTTTTCGATTTAGTTCTAAAAATGTCGTCTACCTAATGCAGTTTTTTAACTTCCATTTCTAAAATTTTCCAATACTTTAATTCACTTTTCTCCGCAAGAGATTTGAGTGTTTATTCTCTGATAAAAAAAAAACAAAAACAAAACCAAGAAAAAAAGAAAAAGAAGAAATGTATTCTTCCAAAGCGAGTCCATTAAGAGATGGTCGATTACTAATAACCAGGACAGTCTTATATTATGAAAAACGGCTTACTTTTGGCGAGGAGGCGAACATAAAGCGTATATCTTGTGGTCCTGCACTGGAGTGTCTTCTCATCTGAAGATTCGACGACGACAATCCTAATGTGTCTTGAGGGCTCGAGGGCGCGACTAATATCCTCGGTGGTTGAATGGCATTGTCGGAATGTCTTCTTCCAGGCAGCGTAGCTTGCACTCTGAGAAGATTAGAGTCTGGGGATTCTGTGGCTGTAACAACACCAAGTCGAATTAGAAAATTAACTCTCTGACTCGATAACGGTGGCCGAAGAATAAATACCGAATGAAAGAGATTGAATATCTACTTAGAGTAACCGTTTTGACAGGAAATGCGCTGTACTTTCTTCCCCGGAGATATTGTCCAAACTTGCCTACAAACTCCTTTACTCTTATACCCTAGGGAAGTCCGAGTCACTCTCTCTAACAGAGCAATTTACCATTAGGTCAGTCGATGCTAGATGCAATTCTCTTTTTCTAATCTTTTGTCAGATTCTCCAATGTCTTTGTTACCGATTGTATTTTATTTTTGTTCTTTAACCAGAGTGACTTGTTTATTTTTCCATTTCTGGATTGTGAACGGTTACCTTTCGATTTAGAAAACGCGTTTAATTATTTTTGTTGATAAACTGATAACGTTCTTACCCGAGTTGCATGTTCTTTGTATCACATCGTCCATGCTAATAGATTGTCTTCTGGATTCTAGTCGTAGAGAAGGAGGTCTGTGTGGGTACCTTGCAGGATGATCGATCGTTTGCGGCCTGCAACAGATAATTTATATATATATATATAATGTACACAGATGCTTGAAAATTTTAAAATTTGAATAGAAGTTTCAAGTAAGATCAGAATACATAAATACATTCATTTGATAAATAATTTTACACGAGCATTTGCTATAGAAGTTGTAGTCGGAAAAAGGAAATGCAATTAAGATTATTTTATTGTGACATCGTCACAATTCCGGGTTGCAATTTTTAATCATATTTTTAAATTTATTTAATAGAAAATATATGCTCTCCACCTCATATTAATAGTGGCTTGCTCCTGTACATCATACTTTTCCTTTAACAATCGAGTCGTGCTGGTCATCTATTGACTGCTTTTGGGGGAACATTTTTGAATTGAAATAGCATGACTTTCGGTTTGTATACAGTTAATGGGGCCTCCTGCTCTTAAGCTTTCTATATCTGGTCTCGACTTTTATCTATATAACTCCTTTCTCGAGATTAAGGAAGGACATGCAGACTGACAGTGGAATTTATAAGTCTACAATTTTTTCAAATTGAAGCCCAATAAGGCATCGAAATGAAAACACATTAAAAGATTAGAAATTTAAAGTTTTGTTCATCTCTTTTTCCTAAAATCCTGAACGTTATTCTTTGTTAGATGTTCAAAAAGACTTCTCGGCAATTAAAATTTCTAGTTAATTTCATAAAACTTTTATAAATTTTAATTTAGAGATGAAAAAAATAGGTTCTAAAATATGAAGTCTTTCTAAATAACACTCTAGAAATAAATCCTTCGCGCAAAGAATGTCTAATAAAGAGTTTTCCTCAGATATATATAACTGAATTAATGTTGAAATTTATAATTAAATCAATTTTAATTACACGAAAGGACTTTTTAACGCATCCGTGACAGAATCCTTATTCGTTTCATCTGAATGCCATTTAAAATGACTTTATATTTCAAACTTTATTAACGACTTTTTTCGCGACATAAATGCCAAAATTTCATAACCTTGGCGCGTAACGACGTCGTTTTCGGTTGCGTAATTCACCTTTCCACCATTACGTCAATATAAATTTATTTAAAACTTTACAGATGAGTAAATTATTATAAAGAGCAAATTTTCCAATGGGAAATAACTAATTACGTATTAAATTTTTGAATTAACTTTAGGCATTAATGTCATATAAAGTCCACTATCCAAAGTCGAATTGTTCATTATTTACTTATTCCAAGAATTGCAGGATTTGCAAAGAATACCGATGGAATGTATTTAATAATGAATTTGTCTCGCTATATAATTAATTGCTTCCAGCGCGAATTAAGGAGTCTGTGAATGGAGGAAAATATATTCATGCATCTCGAGCTTGCATAGTCTTATATTAACTTATAAATGCATCTAGTTCTATAATTTTTCCAATGGAATTACAAAACAATAGAATTAGTTTCTTCTATTTTAATATATAATTTATGAATAATATTGATTTAATTTTAAGTTTTAAGTAAAGTTTGAATTTCGCTAAATTTTAAAATTAATTTACCACACATTAGTAAACGTAGTCTTTGAGTAAACTAGGAATAACATTTAGATATTAACTATTAAAATTGTTTATTTAAATTGAAATATTTATAATATTCTCATAGTTAATTATAACTATAAAATTCCTAAAAATAATTTATAATATATATAGAGAGTATATTTCATATAATATACACTTAATATAGTAAAAATTTTAGCATTAATAGACGAATCTTGAGTAAAAAATATATAAATAATCATATAATTTAATAGGAAAACATAATCTTAAAGGAATTTTAAAAAATATTTTAAATTTAAGATATGTTTCAGTTCTGCATCTTAATACTAATCATATTATTATTAATATATCTTAAGGTAATCTTTTACATTTAAAAATGTGCAAAATTAAATTTTTAAGATTATAAATTTAATATTTTACAAAAGAAAAATTCACGTANCTCTAACACGGTTCGAGAATTGGTACCATCCCCCGTATAACACGGTACTTTTATAGCACGGATTCATTCTGACACGGTTCGAGAACTGAGTAAAACCCTCTTACAACATAAAATGTAATAAATTTTTACATACTTAAGTACTAATAGTTTACGAAAATTATTATTTTCGTGAACTATTAGTACTTCAGTATGTAAATTTTCTTTTCTCGCCTCTATACACATGGTCCTTCGCGAAAATTGTTTCAATTTTGCCAGATCTCGACGCTTCTGCTTCTGGTGTTAGCAGATGTTTTTCCCTTATTCCATAAGTGCTTAGGACCGTATAAGGAAATTTATAAAGATCTTTTAACTAGAAGCAAGCAATCTAAAATTATATACACTTTTTGCAAAAGGTAAAGCATGAATCTGAAAATAATGCAGAAAAATGCTCAGAGGATAAGGATAACTTGCCAAAAATAAAACGCTCTCGGTTAATAGTGCTTTTAGTGATGACAAAGAAAACATTGTTAATTATGAAAATATAGTAGCATGTTTTTTAATTTTTGGAACCTAACCCTGCTTTTCGTACTAGTTCTTTGTTTCGCATAACACGGCAATTTTTTGGAACGTAACTACCGTGTTATAGGGGGGTTACCTGTACTTGATATACTGTATAGTAGACTAAGGTTCGTTGAAGCACTGGAATCAACATTTCTATAAATTAGAATTAGAAAATATATCTGAAATATGTCATAATTTCGATACAAAATCTTTTAGGGGGTTATTATTCAGACTTTAATTGCAATTTTATTTATTTAGGACTCACTTGACACTGTATACAGCAAGCGAGTAAAATCTTTTATCAAATGATATTTCTTGTCTAGGTTTTAAATTAGGGGAATTGAAGAAAGAAAATCATTTTTTTTTTTTTTTGTAAAGAAATGCTTAAAGGTCCTGTCTCATTACTGGTGATAATTGTTTTTAAATTAATATCTTGCCAGAGAGATTCTTAAGCCGTTTCGATTTTTTTTTTTTGCTTTTGTCTTCTCGAATCTATTAAGACTTACTTAGATTAGATTTTGCTTACAAATAAGCTTTAATCTTACCTTAACACCGGAATCGTTATCGAAAACTTGTTTAGTTCTGGGCAGGACCATTTTTTTAACGGCCGATTCCTCTAAAGAATCCGCTATATTTGCTACAGCCTGAAGCGCCGCCGTCTAAGTAATTGGATACTTAAATTAATTTTCTTATCATTTTTATTAAAAAATTAATTGGAAAAAAATTAAGAAGTAAAATTAAACGAAAATTATCATAATTATTAAAAGTTAAGAAAGTTTTCTGTTAATTATTCATTATCTCTTACCTGTATCTGCGGTGTTGTAGAGTCGAATGCATTGTACAACATAGGTAATACGTCCGATTTAATATCACTCTTAGGCGTTTTTTTCATGATAACGTCTAATCTTTCCAATAGCGTTACTGTCGCCTGAAAACGATTTTTAAAATTTCGGTGTTACAACATACAAGCACAAAATACCGTCGTATGTAATTAATTAATACTGTAACTGTATTTTTTACCTGTACAGATTTAGGCATACTGAATACAGTACGAAAAAGTGGAAGAATGTAGGCTTGATTTTCTTCCGGAGTACTTGCTTCTATCATAAATAGTATCGGTTGTAAAGCGGCAGCTAACACTTCCGGTGATTGAAGTTCGGCTTGTAAAGACGGTAAAACGTGTTGATACCAGAGTTTCTAAAACCGTGTAAAAATACAAATCGATGCTATGAATCAAAAATTCACTAGTGAAAAAAAAAAGAAAAAACAAAATGCACCAATCCCAAAAGGCTACTTTTTGCCAAACACGGTTCTGCACTCAGTAAGAAATTACACAAGCATCTAGTATAGTATTTGTAATGCGTCTCGAAAAACATATTAAGCATTTGGAAAATAAAACAGAAGAAAATGTTTACAGAGAGATTGTATGTGAATGAAAACCTACCTTGGGAATTGCTGGTAGTACACCTTCCAAACTGTGATAGAAATTCGATTTATGACCCGAATCTTTCATTTGTATAACGTCGAGGTATAAAAGAGCGTTAACTGCTGGATCCATAAAATATCTAATCTAAAAAAATTAAAGAAATTCATTAACGTATTGGTCTCAAGAAGTAGTTAGTTGAAGTATGGATTTAAAGTAAAAATATATGTATTTAAGAGAATTTAAAATATCTATCTACAAAATAACGAAAGAAATATATATATATATATTTATGACTTGTATGAAATATGGTCATTTCCCTGAGTTTTCATAGAGTAACATATTTCTTATACCAAAAAATATTGCAAGAGCCTCTCAACAATATTAATATCATTGTCATATGGAAAGGTGACAGCTAAAAAATCGAACCGCAGGAACTTTTCAGATTAAATATTAAATATTACTTTACTTTGCATATTTTCTTCATATACATTCTACAATAATAATAACTAAAAATTTAATACATAAAACATTAAAAATATCTGTGAAAAATCGTCCTATTTACGACTCATCTTCACTTTGAAACAATCCATTTTCTTGTTATTGGAAAGATGTCTTTTTAAAAGAGAAGAGATAATTTGCATACAAATTTTTGCATAAATTAAAAAAAATATTATATATTTTATTAAAGTTAAGTAAAATATCTTTATTATTATTATTAGCATTCAAAGTGACTACCATATTATATGGAGAATGGAATTTGTTTAGTGTAGTAGATTTTACTTTCTTAACAGAATGTTAAATTAGCTTTCGCAAGAAAAAAATAAACAGAAAGAGTACGTGAGTTTCATTTCCGAGTATAAAAAAATTACGAATTTAATTTGTATTGAGTATATTTTAATGTCATCATTAATAAAATAAAAGACGGTAGAATAATAAAGCGACTTTCTTATTTTAAACGGCAACTTTTATGTTTCTTCAGTTGCTAGAGTGGATATTCCTTTCATTTCGTATTATACATTACTCGTGTGAAAAGCATGGAAAACTTGGCCTTGGGCTATTGAATGAATTGCCATTCCCAACTATAGACAAACAATTTATGTTTAAACAGAAAAGAATCGAGGCGTGTACATCCAATAAAATTGTTTTTAATGAAAAGAAAATATATTCTATAATTTCGATTTTCAACTTTGATAAAAGACTAGTTTTTATCCAAAATTTAAATGATAAAAGTTTATTTTTTACCNACCATTAAGTAATTCTTCAAATATATCAATTTAGCTTCTAGATCTTATAAATTTCGTTCTATTCGTGTCAAAAATGTAAAAAAAAATTGAGATTTTTCTTACATAAGAAAGAACTTTGGAAACGAGAATGTGACAAAAATTCAATTACAAATTCACGTACATTAATATTAGAATTTTAAACGAAATTTCTTACAATTTTTAGAAAAATTTAATGAACAGATTGATTCTGCAGAGGTTAAATTTCTATAATAAGTTAAAGGTAATATTGATTTAAAATTTTACAAGAACATACAGCGTTGTATGAAATAAAACATGCGATCTCCTAATGTGCACGGATTTAACTAGATATAAAGTAACTTTAGACTCAACGTATCCTAATAAAAAATAAATAATAAACAAAATAAATAAAACATCCATTAATATAACACGCATCTTAAGACAGAATCTCCCATTAATCTATCTAATCTAGTATAAAAATGGGTAAATATTCCTTCAATTTCTGGCGAAATAAATTAAATTCGATCCCGTTTAACAATGTTTTCCAGTAAACAAACTTTCATCTACGACATTATCCTATTTAATCAATAAAATTGCCGAAACTGATGGTTTGTTGTGACAGCTTTTCTCATTTAGCATAAATGTCACACACTCGTGCGACAACTCGATACCGAATATTATTGGAATATTCCGTATCTGTTGCTCGAAAGAATCGAATTTCTGTGTCAACACCTATTATTGTCTTAGAATTAGTGTCGGTGGAAAGAAGCTATTCGTTTTTGTTAGTGTACGGATGATATAAAGATTTGTGTGATTTGTGGTGGGATTTATAAGGAAAATTCAATAAGTAACAATAATTTAGAAAGTATAAGAGTTAAATTACGATCGATAAGACTGGGAAATTATCAATAAAGAAACGTTGGTTTCGTAATTATACTTACTGATCAATAGAGGACACAGAAAGATGTTCTAATTTTAGTTTGTTCTTCTGATTCTTAGCTACGTGTTCCAGCATTTCTTCCAATAGTTCAACTAGAGACGTGAACTTAATCGGGGATCAAAATAATTAATGATAGCTGATAGAAATTCAGTAGTAGAGATTCAACTTAAATCTAAACACAATAATGAAATTACCTGGTGAAGTTTAAGGGCAGGACTCACCACTACCGGAATTAACACGGGCATGACTTTAGTCGCCAGCATATTCACTGTTAAACCGTATCTTTTATCGCCTAACATGTGTTTGTAGATTCCTACAAAGAAAAAAATTATTATTATTATTATTATTTTTTTAGTATACTTTAGAAAAACAAAAGTTTAATTAAGTTAGGATTTAAAAATTGATGAATTAAGAACAATAGAAAAATATATTTTTATAATTTTTCGTTTCATAAAAAAAATAGTCAGTTATCAATCGCCGACTTTCTATCTTGCATGGTTTTTAGTATCGAGGGACAGAATTCAGTTTAAAAATAATTGCTTTGGACCCGAGAGTTCTTTAGTGTCGGAGATTAAAGCTCTTTGTACAAAAAAGAGTTCGGCTAAAATCCCAGAAGTTAAAATTGACAATAAGCCTATTATATTTTAGTTTCACGTTTCTAAGTTCATTTTTGCGAAAAAATGATTCTTATGAAATATTTAATGGAGAAAAATGTGAGATTTTTAATTATAAATTAGTCTTATGAATATTTTTAACTATGGTCGGATTAAATTTATCTTATAACCACAAAACAATATAAATAATGATAGTGAATACACGAGAAAATATCGGAAGGCTAAGCCAAATATTCGTTCAAATAAATACCAGCAATATATATTTATGATTAAGATAAATTAATTTTTAATCAAGCTATAGATTAAGATGTGTAACCAAAACTTTTTATAAATATATAGCTAAAAAGGAGAGATATTTTACAAAAATTATTTTTCTTTCATGTTAAATATTGAAATATGGATACCATTAAGTACAGTTAAGTCGTCGTTGCATTTAAAAAAAATTATAAAATAAATCTGAATTTTGAGGAGGATGCATTTAAAAATGGAACTGAAGTTCACAAATTCCTTTTAACGCTCATCGATTTCAAATTTTTCTGGAAAAATTTTCAAATTACAACGAATCATTAGAAACGGATACGAGCCATAAAGGTTTATTTCCTTTCGTGTAATGCGAATAATTTATTTACAGAAGATAATTTATTAAATGCATATTTTCGAAATTTTCCAAAATTACAGAATTCTAACTTACAGTACTCTTATTTAATTGTTAGAATATCCGTTCTCAATCCGGATCTTCCTATTAAATTTAACTGACTTCGGATTAAACTCGATTACGTCGAGACGATTAATTGTCCGAAAAGTTTAGTTTCCAGTTCAAAATTCTTTCTTTCTATTATTATTATATTCTAAGCACTTTAATGAATTTCGAGTGGGGAAAATTCCGATCTAATTTAAAGTTTGATATTAATCGTATTTTATAGATGCGTAAATGTGACCTAAATAGCGGCGTATAAATATATTATAATTAAATTCTGTGAGAATTGTTCTTCCTATTCTCGAGGACGACATTCCGAGCTTTGAATTACGAATCGTGTCGACTATAAATGCTAAACGTGTTTATTGATTTGGATTAAGTATTGCAAAGCGAATCATTTGTCTCGCTAGAATTATTGAGAAATCATTATATTAATTTTCTATAATACATACAATTGTACAAAACAGTCCCTTCATAATTTTACGATTTTAAGTTTTGTATGAGACGAAGAAAATATACAAAGGTGTTTACCACAATAGGAACACTAGCATTTTCGAAGACGAAATCGATAGATATGATAATTAATCTCGTTGTAATGGGGAAAGGGGAAGGATATTCAATTAGATATGACAAAATATCTACCAAATGTTAAAGTCATGTGACAAGGTGAGAGAAATAATCGATGAATCCTTTTCCCGGGAAATTATATTAACAATGTTTTTAGCGATTTCGAGAAATATTTTTAGATTTTAAACCGAAAATAACGAATAGCTTAAAGCATTTTCAGAACTTGGTGTTTTCTTTTATTGTATGCAAAACCAATAAATCATTTTTTTTTTGCATTTTTTATAACTGTTTGAGAAAGTTACCATTAAGTAATTCTTCAAATATATCAATTTAGCTTCTAGATCTTATAAATTTCGTTCTATTCGTGTCAAAAATGTAAAAAAAAATTGAGATTTTTCTTACATAAGAAAGAACTTTGGAAACGAGAATGTGACAAAAATTCAATTACGACAAAGAGTGATTTACTAGATTTTTATCGTGTGATAGAATACATCGCTGATAAGCCACATTATAAGGTGAAGCGATATTAATATAATAGTAGAAAACTAACTCACGTATTATTTATACATTCAAATTTAGTAGAAAAACTAACTCTATTAACAAATTTTACCAGATATAAATATTGAGAATTAATTAGTTATTTAACTAATTAATTCTCAATACAATAAAAGATGTTAACAGTATTATAAAAATAGTCTAATATATCCAAAATAGCAAAAACAATTAGTTCTATTACAGAGTTTCGAGTTACAAATTGCATAGTAGCTTATTCAATTTGCAATACAGAAACAATGGCGAATTTTGCTTTATCTTCCAGCTTTTGATACAAATTTGTAACAAAAACATTAAGTAAAGGCAACATTCTTAAGAATTTAAGACAATCCTTTGTACAGGATTAACATTTTAACGTTTAAATTTTAATTTAGGAAACTGCAAAATTAACTCTTATCCATTTACTATAAATTCCTTCCCAATATTTTAATTTGTGTCTTAGATAATCTATAGGAATTTAATTGCTGTAAAATGGCGTAAACGAAACCTATAATTAAATTTTCAATTATTAAGACAGGCGAGTACACGACTTTTTTTTTCTTTTATATCTTTAATAATTCGGAAAGGATCGAAATTCCCGTCACGTTAACCGAAGTAAAATGTTATTTTCTGCCTTTTCTCCCTCCTTCGATATTTTTGTTTACAAAAGAAGAACTAAATAAAATTGTTCCCTTAGGTTACTGTATAAAATCGGCGTTTGTATCGGTTAGAGAAAAAGAAATAAAAATAAAAATAAAGTCACCGAATGTTTGAAAACTTGTGATTTAGTATAATTTTTGTCGAATTTTTATTAATAATTTATAAGTTCTTCTTTACATATATAAATAAAATTTTGAAAAATTAAATAAATTGCTTTAAAAAAAATATAAAAAATTAAACGAGTAGAAAATCGTTACAAAAACACAAACCGGGTATTAAAAACTCTCGAATTACAGTTACAAAAAGATGGTGCAAAAGAAAAATCAATCATAAACAATTTTCGGTTGTTTACTTACTTACAACCGGCATTAATATTGCAGGATCTTGTAATTTAGCTTTACTAAGCATAGGTAAAACATCGTCCAGGATGTTGGTCTTTTCTAATTTATCGATGATCTTCTCGACGCAAGTCAATGCGATTGCTTGCATCTGTAAGCAAAAGTTGTTATTATTAAAATCCAAAATATTCAAATTTGAATAAAATGATAAATCTTTCCGTCAATATTTAACAATAATTGCTTCCGGATATATCCTTAGCAACGTGTTTAAAGTATAGTTTAATCGAAACTAGAAACTGTTAAATAATTATAATTTTATTGATCCGACAGTCACCTTTATCAATTGTATAGAGAAACCGCAAAATAAATTCTTAATGATGATGATGATTACTCTTAAGAAATTCGAGATGTCTCTTTGGATTATTCTATACAAGCAAATTTCGTCTGCGTATTGTTACTGAAGATATTATATAATTAAAGTTTTAATGTTAATTATTAACAGTGTGCCAAGGCTCAAAGTGTGTTAAATATGATTAGAAAATAAATCATAAATGACACTAATGTTTAGTGTAAAGAAGTATTTTAAAATAGCTAGTAACGAGTTGCTTAACTTTTCCGGTAACGTTTAAAACTGCGTGTGTGGCGCCTTCTGTTACGATATTTTATTATTAAAAACTTTTTATATTTTTAATTATTATAAAGTGGCAAAAAGCTTAATTTTGACAGTAGGTATTTGGAAATGCTAATAACGAGTAAAATCGTCATTAAGTCTAACCCTATTGGAGATACACATGACCCCTTTTATCTTTCCATCCCCTCGACGTTTAATCACCAAAATTCAATAGCATAAATCTCCTTATTAAAGAAACCATCCTGCAAAATTTCAGAAATTTTTGACAAAAAGCACAGGAATTATTAAGCTTCAAATAAGATGAACAACGTCGTGCCCTCCACACACACTCTATACAGAAAAACATCCGAATTTTTTTTTCGACATTTCAAGGTCCCTTGAATCCAAAAATGTAAAGATCTTGGGGGATCATATTTTTAGACCGATTGCCATACTTTCCCTCTGTTATACAGTATATAACAGAGCCGGGAAAGTGAAAACGAATACTTTTATATGGAGGTGTAATGTTCTTTCACCGAAACCTCGTTTATTCTTCCATTTTCCAATTCTTGATGCATCATCTTATTGTTTAAACACGATATTTTTTCAAATTCACAAAAATATTTCGAAATAAATGGATGCAAAATGGTTTGAAAGATTGTGTGTCAAGGAAGTGTCCGAGCTGAATTGAAAAAGAAAACTGCAGAAGTATATTTTATTCTAGTGTTTGCTAGATTTTCATTTTAATATCGTGCTTGTATATTTTAAGAGAAAATATCAGTTTCTTATTATATTAATTTTTTTCATGAATGGTGTTTTTCCTTTTATTAAGAAAATATAAGCCTATTCTTTAGTTTAGATATAAGGATATAAACTATACATTATCCGTTTTCTGAGAACATTGGAGAATCTTTGATACTCCAATCACATACTTCCTATACCTTTTTTCTAACTCATCTGTTCGGATTAAATCGATAATTCTGTGTTTTTGTATGTACAGAACATTCTGTATTTGCAGTAATTTGTTCATATGGAAACAAATTGTAATTTAATTTTAATAATTTATATCATTAAAGTAAATAAACATGCAATGTTC